TTGGAGCGGCACTAACTCAAGAAGAAAAGACTATAGTATATGCATTGAGAGCTCTATCAGAGATAGAAAAAAAATTATGCACAGATAGGGAAGTAATGCTTTGCAGTCGTATTTGGATGCAAGAGATTTAAACAATATGTGCTGAATATAAAAAATTCACAAAACAGTGGGACATAGACCAGGATCGTCACCAGGATGTCCATGAAGCAATGGGATGGTGGCAAAAACCTAAAAATGGAAGGATGGATAAAAGGAAACATTTTGGGGAAAAATAAGAACCTGAGATCCTATTGGGTAAAAGATATATAGATGACCGTCATGGGAGATCAAACAAAGGAAAATAAAGAAAATACAGGAGGAAGAGGAAAAAGCAGAAAGAAGATCAAGGAGTGGCAGAAGCGACAAGAACAACCAGATGTAGAAGAGAAATAAAAAGACCCACAAAGAATGATAGAACAAGATTGAAAAAAAGAAGAAACTAAAAGGGAGATGTTCTATATTACTGTAATTACTTAATTGACAATTGGACATTGACAATGAGAAGCAAGCAGCAAGCATTAAAGGATTTTGGGAAAGGGACTGCTGAGGAGAGCAACAAAGATGATCCCCAGCTTTAGAGATATGAGTCTTATAATAATAATAATAATCCTTGCATTTGATATAGCGCTTCTTCACGTCTTCTCGATGTCTCAAAGCGCTTTACAGAATAGACTGTAAAGTGAATTGACTGTATATTTGTGAGCAAAACGCGGCAGCCAATTGCGCACAGCAGTGTCCCACAAACAGTTATGGATTGAAAATGACCAACTATTTATTGTTTTGTTTTTTTGGAGGGATTATTATTAGGCGTGTGGAGTAAGGAAACTTGCTCCACACTCTTGTGGAGTCCTGTAGACTGTAGTAACCTGGGTTCCATTCCCGGCAAGGCGAAATGTTGGGCAAGTTTCCTTACTCCACACACCTCTGTTTACCTAGGAGTAAGCAGGAACCCGGTTTTTAGTTGATTGGCGGATTGCTTTTCTGGGGATAATAATTCCTTCAAACAAAATAATAATAATAAAATTGGTCACTTCAATCTATGACTGATTGTGTGATGCTGCTGTGAGCAATTGGTTGCCGTGTTTCGCCCACAAAATATACTGCCAAATCACTTTACAATATATTCCGTGAAGTGCTTTGAGACATCTTGAAAACATGATAAGACGCTATATTAAATGCAAGGATTATTATTATTATGAGCAATGAGGAACAATTATATAAGCTAGGGTTCTTCAGTGTTGAGAGAAGACACCACAGCGGAGGCCTAATAGAAGTGTACAAAAAAGTAAACCCAGATTAATACTTCAGGTCGTATCATGACAGTAAAAGACGACACAGGTTTAGAGCTGTAAAAGACAATTTCAGGACAGATATGAGGAAGTTTTTCTTTACTCACGGTATATACACACAATGAGTGGAACAGGTTGCCAGGAAAGGTGGTAGAGGCTAAGTCGCAAGACTCATTTAAAAAGCATATTGATTCTATGAATGGGGTTCGGTGCGAGGGAGGGGGAAGGGCGGAGGGGAATCAGGGAGATCAAAAGCACAGTCGAAGAGGAGGGTCTTGTGAAGGGAGGGGGCGAGATGAAAGGGCTGCGGGATGGAGTTCCAGAGGGTGGGTGCAGAGTGGTGGAAGGCCCGCCTCACCAATAGTAGGGCGAGCAAGGCTGCGGATGTGAAGCAGGCGCTGAGTGGAGGGAGCGAACAGGGTGGTAGGGTTCAGGAGGTCGGAGAGGTAGGGGGGAGCAAGAGCATGGAGGGCTTTGAAGGTGAGGATCTTGAACTGTATCCTCTGTGTGATGGGAAGACAGTGGAGTCGGGAGAGGATGGGAGTGATAGGGTTGCAGAGCCTGGTGTGGGAGAGGACACAGGCTGCAGAGTTCTGGATGATCTGCAGCCTGTGGAGGGAGGAGTTGGGGAGGCCGACAAGCAGTGAGTTTGCGTAGTCGAGCCTCGATATACTGAAGGCATGTATGAGGGTTTCACGATCTGCGGTGTGAGACATTGTCAGAGCCGGGCGACGTTGTGGAGGTGAGGAAAGGCAGAGGCGCAGAAGTGGGGTAGAAAGGATAGTTGAGGGTCAAATAAGACCCTAAGGTTCCGGACTCGCTTAGTAAGGTGGAGTGTGCAACCATGGATGGTGATGCTGTCAGCGCCTGAGGTGAGGAGGCGCTGACAGGACCCAATCAGGAAAGCCTCGGTCTTGTTGACATTCAACTGAAGAAAGTTAGCTCGCATGTCCTCATCCACTCAGAGTGGTTCAGCCATCAGTATTCATTTTAAAAACAATAAATAACTAACAACTAAATGAATCCATGTTGAATTTAAACCAAGATCTTTCTGATCCCAAGTCATCTTAAATGTCTTCTTTTCTCAACCAAGTGAGCTACTCAGAGAGTACTGTAAAGTCTTGTTTATTTTTCACATGCACTTTTCCTTTTCCATACTAACTATATTTTATCTTTATAATAATAATAATCCTAACATTTGGTATAGCGCCTTATCATTTCTTCGAGACGTCTCAAAGCGCTTCGCAGAATATACTGTAAAGTGAATTGACTATAGATTTTGAGGGCGACACTATCTCCATCATTATCTGCTACAGTATTTTGGTCAAACGTTGGTGGCAATAATGTGATGTATGATGTGATAATACTCCTTGTATTTGTTAGAGTGTTTATGTCAAACATTTCAAAACATTTCACAGGATATATTGTAAAGTAGACTGACTGTGTTTTGTAGGCGAAATGTGGCAGCAAGTTGCACACAGCAGTGGCTCACAAACAGCCATGGAGTGAGTGACCAATGTTATTCGAGGGATTGTTGGCCAGGACACCAGGAAGGAGAAACTCCTTTCTCTTTTTGCATAGTGCCATGGGATCTTTAACGTCTACCTGAACATGCAGACGGGACCCCAGTTTAACGTCTCACCCACAACCTTCTGATTCAGAAGCGAGAGTCCTACCACAGTGCCAGGCTGACACAATAATTACTGTGAAGTATGAAATTATAGGCGAATGCGGTGGCAATTATCTCTTGATATTATAAATATCACTGGTGATAATTATAGTATCAAGTGGCATGCCAATAGCGCAATGTCCTTGTTGATGGACACCACTCTTGACTCTGTTCAGATGGATGAGCCCAAATCTGCTTCAGGTTGTCATTGGGCTGACAACTCCTTTTGCTTATGTAGCTGCTGTCACACAGATCCCAGCACTTCAGTTGTAGAATATCAATTGCCATAATCGGGTTTAGTTGCAAACATTTGAATAGAGAGCGGGTGTGGGATAGCTAACAAACATATAGTCATGGCCAGTTCATTGACTGCGATATCACCAGGAGGGAATATCCCATCATGTGATAATTATTATCTCATCCCACATTTTTTAACCTCTAAATTGTAATGTAATTTTAATACAAATTTACCTCAAGAGATTACCTACTATTTTATTAATTTCGACAGTGCAGATTGACTGTTCAAATATCAAGTAGGTACCTCCTGACTGGAAAATGCAATTTTGTCAAAACTGATTAAATTGCATTTCTCACACTAAGCACTTTGAAATGTAAGTGTTATGTGTTTCTAGTAAGTTTATTAAGAAAGTTTGACAAATGAACTTCACTGATCTTCTGATGATCTGAGGAATGTTGGTTGGTCCCTTAATTTTGTAAATAAACTTCTCTTATTTATCGTATTGCTATTTGCCTTCATGTACACTGACAGCAAAGCGAAACATACGAGAAACCTTGCTAACAAGCGCATTTATTACTAACTACTGCAAAGAAAGAGTGTTCAATTCACTTTAACAAGCATTTCAACAACAATAATACTTTCATTTGATATATCTCAAAGCACTGTTAATGATTGTATTTGCAGGGAAAATATAACAGCCAATTTAATAATGAAATTTGCATACAGCAGCATCCCACAAACAGTCAGGAACTAAATAACAACAACAACAACAACAAATTGGATTTATATAGCGCCTTTCATTTTGGGAGGACATCCCAAAGCACTGGATAGTCAAGGATTTGCACCCGAGCTGGAGATTAGAATCGAGAGGGGTGGAGGGCAAGGGGAGTAGGGGTGGAAGGATGATCGAAGGCACGGTCAAAGAGGAAGGTCTTGAGACAGGCCTTGAAGGAGGCAAGAGAGGGACACTGGGATGGAATTTCAGAGGGTGGGGGCAGAAAGACTGAAGACTTGACTGCCAATGGTGGGCCGGCCGGGCGGGGGTTATGGAGCAGACCAGTGCCCACCAAGCGCAGGTTGATGGTGGGCTTCATTTGGGAAATGATGGAGGTGAAAGAAGAGGGGGGGCAGGGTCAACAGTATGGAGGGAGGGAGTGGTGGAAGCTGGGGAATGGAAGTGGGAAGGTGTTGGCAGTAGAAAGGGCAGAGGCTGCAGAGCGGGTCCTCGATTTTGGACTTGAGGAAGTCCATCACCTCCTCACATTTGGAGTTGGAGGAGAGGATGGGCGAGGTATGGGAAGGTGGAGGGAGGAGCTGGTTTGTGGTGGAGAAGAGGAGTCTGGGGTTGGTCTCTTGGATGATCTTGGAGTAGAAAGATGATTTGGCTGAGGCGAGGGTGGAGTGATAGATTTTGATGTGGTCCAGCCAAATCTGGCAGAGGACCATTAGATTGAATTTGTACCAGGTGTGTTCAGCAGCACACACCTGTAACTAGAGGGAGCGGAGGTGGCTGGTGTACTGGGGGACTTGTGGGAGTAGGAGGCCATACGTGTGGTGAAAGGGGCAAGGATGTCGAGGGTAGCAGAGCAGGAGTTGTGGAGGAGAATGACTGAAGATGTAAGGTTGAGGCCTAGAGGGGCAGGAGTTGAGATGACTTTAGGGTGGTGGAGAGGGAGTTGGGGGTAATTTGCTTCCAGAAGTTGTACGGGATAGGAGTGAGTTGGGTGGCGGGGAGTGGAATGGAGGAGTTAAGGGAGATGAAATAATGGTCCAAGATGACTTTATCAGTGATGGTGATGTCCGGGCCCGTGAGGCCGCAGGTAATCACTAAATTGAGTCGGTGACCATTGATGTGAGCGGTGGAGTTAATGTGGAGGGAAAGGTTGTGAGAGGAGAGGAGGGAAGAGAAGTCAGGAGAGGTGGAAGAACAAGGGATGAAATGGAGGTTTAAGTGGCCTCAAAATGAGAAGGCATTCAGAACGGAGGCAGAGAGAAGAAAGGAGGATGGAGATGTCAGAGAAGAAAGCGCTAGAGGGCTTGGAGGAATGATGGATGAGGAAAATTTGAAGGGAAAGATCGAAGGGCTGATAAAGAGTAAGGTGTTTGAAGGAGGGGAAAGACCCGAAGGATTAAGGGGAGTGAAGCCCGGGAGATGAGAGCCACACTACCATGGCGGTTGGGTTGTGGGGTATGATGGAAGGTGTAACCGGGTGGTGTGGCCTCAGTGAAGGGGAAGGTGTCATCTGGGGTGATCCAAGTTTCAGTGAGGACCGTGACGTCGATATTTTCATGGACAATGAGGTCATGGACAGTGAGGGTTTTATTGGAGAGAGCAAACATTTTGCAGGGAGATGCAGAGGGGACAGACAGCAGAGTTGTTTGTAGGAGGAGGGGGGAGGAAGAGGATTGATAGGAAGGGTGGGAATATGGATGAGAGAAGAAAGGTTCGCTTCTGGGGATCGGTGAGCCTTGTGGAAGAAATGGGGGATGGAGCAGTCATGGTGAATGCTGCTGGACAGCCAATGGCAGTTCCATGATGAGCGCAGCGGAGGATTCTCAGGGTGGATCCTCACACTCATTTTCAAATCCCTTTACGCCCTCACCCCTCACGCTGCTGAAACCCTGGTTCACGCCTTTGTCACCTCAAGGCTGGACTATGGGAACTCTCTCCTCGCCGGCCTTCCCGGCACCTCCCTCCACAAGCTGCAGGTCATTCAGAACTCTGCAGCTCGTGTACTGTCCCGCACCAGGCTTCGGGACCACATCACTCCCACCCTCGCTCGCCTCCACTGGCTCCCCATCCCCCAGAGGATTGATTTCAAGATCCTCATCCTCACCTACAAGGCCATTCACGGCCTCGCTCCCTCCTACCTCTCTGACCTACTATCCCCTACCTACCTGCCCGTACCCTCCGTTCCTCTGGCTCCGGTCTGCTCCACGTCCCCCGCCCCAACCGCCCTACTATCGGTGGTCGGGCCTTCAGCCTCTCAGCCCCGAGGCTCTGGAACTCCATCCCCCAGTGCCTTCGCCTTGCTTCCTCCCTTTCCTCCTTCAAGGCCGGTCTCAAAACCTTTCTCTTTGACCGTGCCTTCAGCTCCCCTCTCGACTCTCTTCCTCCTCCTCGCTCCCTCCCTTCCCTCCCCTCACCCTGACCATTTCCCCCCTCCTCTCTCCCTCCCTTCCCTCCCCTCACCCTGACCATTTCCCCCCTGCTCGGGTCATGACCCAACTGTGCAGCGCCTTGGGACGTCCTCCTGACGTGAAAGGCGCTCTATAAATGGAATCTTGTTGTTGTTGTTGTTGGCACCTCCTTACCTCTCCAACCTGCTTAACTCCCAACCCACAACCCGCTTGACTGGCTACGGCCTTCTGCATGTCCCTCGTGCCCTCCATTCCACCATTGGCAGTCACACTTTCAGCCACTACGCCACAAAACTCTGGAACACTCTTCCTCTATCTCTCGGTCTTGCCCCTTTGTTCCCCATCTTCAGGTCGCGTCTGAAGACCTTCCTATTTAACCCTGCTTATGATCAGCTCCCACTCCCCCTGACTCGGCGTTGAACTCTGCCATGTCAAGCGCTCTGGCACGCTGCCCTGCGAGAGGAGCGTTATATAAATGCAGATTGTTGTTCTTCTTCTTGAGGCGGGCAAGAAAGGAGAACCGAGCGGGATTAATGGAGGATAAGGGACAAGATGAGGTGTTTGGGGGGGTGTTAGCTCAGATCAGAGGCTGTAGCCAAAACTCACCTGCTGAGATGAGGAGCAGGTAATCATGCGATCAAAGGGGCCATTCAGAGAGAACATGACCTATTTAATTGAAGCAATATTGGCCAGACATCTCTTTTTTGATAGTTTTTTTTTAATCCACCTGAACAGGCAAACAGGACCTGGCTGCCCCCGCTCTCTGGATCTCCATCCTGGAGTGCCTCGGACTCGTTCCCTCCCTCACCTCATTCAACATCTGTCTCAAGACCTATTTCTTTGACCGATCTTTGGGTCATCTTTCCCCTCTCAATCCCTCATGGCTCCCATCCCCTGCTGGGTGTTAAGCCATTAGTGTTAAGCACTTCGGGACATCTGCCAGATTTGAAAGGCACTATACAAATATAAATTTTTATTGTATTGTATTTGTCTGCAAAATATTGATAAAATTAATTTAAAATGCAATCTGGATGCTGCCATTTAATTGTTTCAACTGTAGAACTGTACTCCATGTTCTGTACTGGGTACATCAGTCAAATTATATATGTATTGCTGTACAGTACACTATTTGGGGAGATAGCCCTGATAACCACTAGGGGGTAAGATCTATTGTGATATAAACAGTCTGTTTGATTTAGACTGTCAGTACAGAACTGAATATTATAGGTTTAAATATATTATACCTTATGCGAGACTGCAGGTTAAAATGAAGAGATAAATACTGTGAATATTTAAGACATTAAAATCAGATAAAATTATGTCACTGTGAAAAGTATTAAGAGTTTATGACAGTGCAAATACAAAATACAAAATTACATTTCTAAAGTGCTTTTCATGTCGGGAGGACACGAATAGGTTTCAATGGAGAACAGCTTATATTTCGCAGGTGTATTGATTCCTGTTGAGACTAGCAGGGAGAGAGGAGAAAAATTGTCTGTGGAGAGCAACAAGCTAAGCTTAAATAGTGAAGCTATAAGAATGGATGAATGATATTTAATATTTTTTGGTGCTTCAACTTTGAGATCAGGTGCAGAATTTCGCACCAGGAGACTAAATGGTTCGCACAATTCCAAAAGAGGAAGGCGTTTCTCAAGTTGTCCTTGCTTACAACCCCATCGACAAAATTGGCCATTCACTTCACAGCTGCTTGTAAAACACTACGATACAAAATCGGTTGCCAAGTTCGCTTACAAATGCAGTCACTAGACTTTACAGCAAAATCTTGTAAGGTGCTTTGAGACATTTCGACGACATGACACGATGCTGTATCAAATGCAAGGATTATTATTATTTATATCAGAATAGGTTGCATGTTGTCAGTCATCATAGGAACTAGCTTGATGGGCTCAATGATATTTTCTCATTATGCATCTCAGATATCATTCTTTAACTCTAAACCTATTGATAAGTATGAGCTTTTGTGATTGTTAATGATATCATTCCATTTAAACTCCGGCTAGCCGGACTAATAATAATAATAACAACAAATTACATTTTTGTAGCACCTTTCACATCAGGAGGACATCCCAAGATGCTGGGCAGTCAGGGAACCACACCCAAGCTGGTGGTTGGGACCAAGAGGGATGGTGGGAGAGGAGGGTAGGGGTAAGAGGGTGATGAAAGGCATGGTCAAAGAGGAGAGTCTTGAGATAGGTCTTGAAGGAGGGAAGGGAGGGGGCAAGGCAGAGGGACTGTAGGATGGCGTTCCAGAGGGAGGGGGCAGAAAGGCTGAAGGCCCACCTACCAATGATGGGGACGGGTAAAGCGGGGGATATGAAGCAGGCTGTAGCCTGCTAAGTGAAGGGAGTGGACAGGTTGGTAGCGGTTCAGGAGGTCACAGAGGTAGGGAGGAGCAAGGCCATGGAGGGCTTTGAAAGTGAGGATTGGGATCTTGAACTCTATCCTCTGAGTGATGGGGAGCCAATGGAGCCGGGCGAGGATGGGGGTGATTGGGTGGCGGAGTCTGGTGCGGGAGAGGACATGGCCTGTGTCTATTCTGCATGAATTTACTGTACTAATTACTGGTGGTTTTGTTTTGTTAAACCTTAACCCTGAGAAGAGAACAGTTAAGTTACCCTTTGTGGTAACTTTGTCAATGAAACAGCAGCAAATCCCTTTTCTCTCTTGAAGGCTATTAGTTCCCTCTTGAAGGCCAATATATATGTTTGTTCAACTATGGTTCCTGCATAGCATTCCATATCCTAACTATTCTATGCATGAAAAAAAATCCCTCCATTTGCTTGATTACTAACTATATTAAATTGATGCTCTCTAGTTACTGACTCACCAACCACTGAAAATAATTTCTCCCTATTGACTATCAAAATCCCTCATAATTTTAAAGACTTCTATCAGATCACTCCTCAACCTTCTTCGTTCCAACGAAAAAAATCTCTGCTGCTTCAGTCTTTCCTCATAACGTCCGCCTGAACAGGCAGATGGGGATTTGGGATTTAACGACTCGTTTAAAGTCCCATCTGCCTGTTACTTATGATAGTATTGTCACTGCCAGTCATAGCTTGGGGCAATACAAAACAATTTTGATACAGTTGCTAGCAATGTGCTGGCGTTACTTGCTGTGTCTAAATTAACTCGGAACCTCTCGTAGAATCAAAGAATCCTACAGCACAGAAGGAGGCCATTGAGCCCACAATGCCTGTGCCGGCTCTTTGAAAGAGATAATCCAATTAATCTCACTCTTCCTCCACAGCGTTGCAATTTTTATTCTTTTCAAGTAAATATCGAATTGCCCTTTGAAAGTTATTATTGAATCTGCTTCCACTACCCTTTCAGGCAGTGCATTCCAGACTGTAACAACCTGTTTCGTAAAATAATTTCTCTTCATCTCCCCTCTGGTTCTTTTGCCTATGACCTTGAATCTGTATCCTCTGGTTACCGATTCACCCATCAGTGGAAACAGTTTCCACTTATTTACATAATTTTGAACATTTTACAAGTTTAATTTCTCCTCCACTCTCCTCACTTCAGTTAATTCCCAATTTGAATGTCACAGAGCGACACCAATAACAACAAAATTATATTTGTATAGCGGCTTTCACGTCAGGAGGACGTCCTAAGGTGCTGGACAGTCAATGTTTCAGATCCTCAGGAAGCTTCC